TCAGTACCACTGGACCCAGGACCATTAGTACCACTGGACCCAGGACCTTCAGCACTGCTGGACCCAGATCCTTCAATATTACTGGACCCAGGATTTTCAGTACCACTGGACCCAGGACCTTCAGTACCACTGGACCCAGGACCTTTAGCACCTCTGGACCCAGGACCTTCAGCACCACTGGACCCCGGATATTTGTTCCTCTAACGCCTCAGAAAATTAAACTTCTGGCTTTCTGGACCCAAAGTTTCTGTCCTCACTTCAAAGAAGACATTTTAAACCTGTGTCTTCATCGCTGTCCCAGCAGGACGAGCAAAGATCCAATTTTGTCTTCAGGACTTAGCGTTCTTCTGGATCAGTTTAAGAACTTTAAACTGTTCTTTTGCTTCCAGCTGCTTCTTTCACTCACTGATTTTAAGATGATGCAGTTTGTAGAGCTGCTGCCTCTCAGTGAGGAGGTTGCTGGATCAAATCCCGGCTGAGGGCCTTTGCATGTTCTCTCCGTGCTGCATGGGTTTTCTCCAGTTTCCTCCCACAGACTAAAAACATGTTAGGCTGATTGGCGGGGGGAGGCGGTGGACACCCTGGACATGTCTCCAGTCCATCACAGAGACACAGAGAAAAACAATCATTCTCTCTCTCTCACCTAGGGACAATTTAGAGTCACCAATCATCCATGCATGTTTTTGGTCTGTGGGAGGAAACTGGAATATCTGGAGAAAACCCACACATGCATGAAGAAACCATGCAGACTCCACCCAGAAAGGCCCCCAGCCGGGATTTGATCCAGCAACCTTCTCACTGAGAGGCATATGCATAATAATTTTATATATATATATATATATATATATATATATATATATATATAAAATTACTATTATTATATAATAATAATTATATAATAATTATCATCATCATCAATTATTTATCAATATTATATTAAAATAATTAACATTTTTGTTGTTGTTATATTAATTTAATAATTATTAAAATTATTATGCGGATAGTGGATGAATGGAATTTAAAAAGTATTTATTTCTGAATATGAGCTCTATGGTTAAAAATCAAAACTGAGCTGAACAAGTTAACTGGAAAACAGACGCGCGCGCGCGCACAGCCTGTGGAGCTGCAGACTGCTCAGACACGCGCAGGTGATTCACAAGTTTGAATTAAACCCAAAATAAAAAATGTTGTCCCTTTTTAAACAGGTGGACCGGTTTTTCACTGTTGAGAGAGGAGGTTCTGGTTCTGGTTCCGGTCCAAAACCAGCTTTCCTCTTCGTGTCTTTCGTTTCTCCTGCAGAGAAATAAAACAAATCTGAAGTGAGCTCAAGGTTTTATGTTTTTAGAGAAAACGGCCGCGACCTGAACTTTAGTTTTACAACAGAACCGAACCTCAGCAGGTGACTCGGAACCACACTTTGGGTTCAGAGCTGGAGTCACGTGACAAAAAGACGCATAATGAGCTAATTAAGTCCACCTGTCTGCACCTGGGTCCCGACCACAGCCTCAGACCTGCAGTCGGACTCGGAGTCTTGCATGGAGTCATGAAGGAGCCAGAAAGCGTGACCCACCTGTCTTGGTGTCCCTCTAAGATCAGCCGCAGGTCCCGGACTTCGGGGGGTCCTGTCCTCTGGGGGGTCTGTGGGGGCACACACATGTTTAGTCCTCCCAGAACTTCAGTCGGGGTCTGACGCTGATGCTCGCTCTAGCTCCGAGCCCCGTTGAAGGTTCCGCCCACTCAGTGACGTCATTTGACACGCCCCCCTGTGGGCGGGATAGAACAAACCCAGAATGAGACCTGATTGTCCTGTCAGCTGGTGGGCGGGGCATGTATCCAGCAGCCGCGGCCCAATTCAAGAAGAACTGATCAGTGTTGGTCAGTGTGATCCCTGAAAACAGCTGGTGATGTCCTCCAGCAGCATCGCTCCACAGTCACGCAACTTTACGCAGCTATGCGTGGACATGTGAAGGTCTGCAGCACGTGGACCTGAGGAATCCCGGTTTCTGAATTCATTCACTGATCCGACAGGTTTCTTCTCATGAAGTGTTCCTGACACTCTGTTTAGATCTGCACGTGACACAAACAGAAGAAACGTTCCAGTCTCCAGTGCTCTGAATCCCTGATCAGAAGCATCTGAAACATCTGATCATGTTTCCAGTTGGTCCAGTTTCCTGTTCGGATTCAAACCATAAAGACCCAAAAACCAAACGGAGTCATGTTTCTGTGTTCAGGTCAGCTTCAGTTCTCACGCACGTCAAAAAGGTGCAGATGTTTACACACAATTTCACGCAACGTTCATTTTGACACATCCCGACGTGCATGGAACGTGGTGCACGTGCGTGTTGAGGCCCCAGAAGCTGAAATGATGTGACGTTACAGGGAATGTAATGTAGATCATTTAAATGTTCTCTGTACAGAACAGTGAAGAGCTTCAGTGGGTTCTGCTGATGGACGGAGAACCATTCCAAAGATGGAGAACTGGTCTGATGATGGAGAATCATTCTGATGATGGAGAACTGTTTTAATGATGGAGAACTGTTCTAAGGATGAAGAATCATTCATATGATGGAGAACTGTCCTGATGGAGAACCATTTAAACATGGAGAATCACTCTAATGATGGAGAAACATTCTAAAGACGGAGAATCATCTTGATGATGTAGCACTGCTTTATTGATGGAGAATTGTTCTAATGATGAAGAATCATCCTGATGATCGAGAACTGGTTTGATGCAGAACCATCCTGATGATGTAGAACCAGTCAGATGATGGAGAACCGTTCTAAAGATGGAGAATCATTCTAAAGGTGAGGTTAAGAACCGCTTTAATGATGGAGAACCATTCTAAAGATGGAGAACTGTTTTAAGGATGGAGAACTGTTTTAAGGATGAAGAATCATTTATATGATGGAGAACTGCTCTAATGATGGAGAACCATTCTAAAGATGGGGAACTGCTC